AGAGAGCTTGCCACTGTCTTGTTTGTACAGAGGGGAGAATTTCCCTTCGAGATCCAGGGTGCCCTGGGAGTCCTTGAAAACCGATCTGGGAAGAAACAGGTGGCCTGTCACACATGTGATAGCAAACACACGGACATTCATTTGCTATGTCAGGCAGCAAATGCAGTTGAGCAGGTGGGAAGTTCATTGCTCTATCATTTCTCCTGGTACCCAGGCGCACACATAAATGAATCGTCATGCCTGGCGCCGCACAGGGACAGCAGAGATAGCAAAGCTTGGCTTGCTGCCTTGCAGCTGGCAGAGCTGGGAACATGCGTGATCATGTGCTTCTCGCTCAGCTCCTCTCATGCAGGACCAGCAAATAGCAGCCTCTGCGGAAGCTGCCCAGTGGGGACCGGTGCCCGGGTCAGCGAGGATGCTCTCTGCTCTGCAGGCTGCCAGTCTGGGCACTGGTAAACTGTTTACAGTCCCTGCTTTCCCAGGGCTCTTGCTGTCTCAGGCCGGAAAGACAGCAGACTGCTCTGCAAAGCTCACAAGCGCCCCCCGCTGATCCTCTCCCCATGGCAGTGTCTGGCTGGGGGTCTGAGAGAAGGGGGTGGCAGGTGCAGGCAGGAGGGATCTCTTCTGCAGCTTTGGGGAGCTCAGTACAGCTCCGAGCTGCACCCAGAGCTGTGGGGCAGCTTCTGCCATGGTTGCTTCAGTGTCTGCGGCTGATGAGGTCCAGGGCACCAATAGGTCCCTGGGAGAGTAGCGTACAAATGTACTGCTGTCTTATCCCATCCCCACTCCCCTCTGGGCTCCAGCAGTGAGAAGCCAGCCAGCCACCTCTGAACCGAAGCAGCTCCAAGGATGCTCAGTGCTGCATCAGGGGCTGTGAGGCTACTCAGGCCACTCCGAACCCATGCCTCTGGCAATGCCAGGGACCCCAAGCCCGCATGGGTCATAGCCACCTTTCCCCCGGCTTTGAGAGACCAGGGAGCAGGCTGAGAGTGACATTCACCCAGCACACGGAGCACCGGCGCTTGAGAGCTGAGCGCTGCTAATCCCCACAGCCACAGCACACGAGTGGAATTAGATCAGTCTCGAGCCACCCCGGAGAATAGCAATTATGTGGAGACAGCAGGAGGGGAAGCCTTGGGATGCACTGCTCAGGGGTCTGAACCAGGAGCTCCAAGTCCGATGCTGCCAGCCCCTTCTCACATGAGCAGAGCCCAAGGACATCCCACAGAACAGCAGGGGCAAGGCTGGCCTCAAAATCCTTCCTTCACACAGGCAAACCTACAAGTTTATCAGGGGTGACCACCAGTATCTGGGGGAACGTTTGTTCACCAGAGCGCCCCAAGGGATGACGAGGTCGAATGGCCACAAACTACTTCAAGATCGTTTCAGGCTGGACATAAGGAAGAACTTCTTTACTGTCTGAGCCCCCAAGGTCTGGAACAGCCTGCCACCGGAGGTGGTTCAAGCGCCTTCATTGAACACCTTCAAGATGAAACTGGATGCTTATCTTGCTGGGATCCTATGACCCCAGCTGACTTCCTGCCCTTTGGGCGGGGGGCTGGACTCGATGATCTTCCAAGGTCCCTTCCAGCCCTGATGTCTATGAAATCTATGAAATGTATGAAATAAACAGCCTGTGTCATGTCACCTGCCTGGTATCCATCCAAGTCAAGCACTGAGGTTCCCAACCTGGACTGTCCACACCCTGGTGCACAGCACTAACAGTGACCAACTGGATTGAAGGACAGCACTTGTACCCAGAGAACTGGATGGATTTCTGTTCCTGAACAAGTGTTCAGAATATGATCTGCTCATCACAAAGCAATTGACTGAAACAATGAAACCTATGATAGGTACTTGCAGATATACTCATGTTCCTTGACTGTCTCTTCTATCTCATACCCCTCCCCATCAAGTCTCCAAAGAACTGCTTATATTCAATTCACTACAATTTCATTGAGGAAATGAATGACCACCAAAGGCCAGGGCTTATATTGAGAAGGCCATTTTGGAGTGTGGGGAAAGAACTGAATGATGCAAAGCTTTGATAGCAAGGAAAATGGATCCAGCAATGGAAGACAATTGACACTATTAATAATTTTCTTATCATGGACCCTGAATCTAATCCTGCATAGCTGGACTACATTGAACAAGGCTCATAGTGGACAACTGCCTACTTTGAAAATGCAATTTTAGTAAAGAACCCAAGTATGAGTGTGGCAAAATCCAAACTGTAGCACATATCATGGAGGAATGTCCTAATTATCTTTTTCAATGATTGCATTGGAGATTTGCATCAGGCTACTGATGATGCCTTGCCAAGGATATCAAACCTAAAACTGTCACTCTAGTCTTATCCCCTAGTGCCACTGTTTATAGGTTACTTGGAGCTTGTTCTGTTATTCGGTTGCTGTATTACATACAAATAAATCACAAAGGAACAAATGGAAGCCATTGTGCAAGCACTGCTGCCCAAAACCCTGGCTCCTAATTCACTATATCATAGTGCATGCCTGGACCATATAATAGTGCAACCCTGGCACCTAATTGCCTATATCATAGTACATTGCAAAGTCCACCTCAGCATGGCTACGACCAGAGCAGTGCAGGACTCCAGCTGCCATAACAGCCGTAGCAGAAGCGCTCATGTCGCGGCCTGGTCAGATTCTAATAATCTGCAGGTTCTGCTGAATCCTTGTCGTCAACTATCCCGGGGAGGATGTGAGAAGAAGACAAGGAGAAGACCAGCCCCAAAGGCTGCTGGATAGATCCTTGTTTGACACGTTCCATCGTGTCCATCCATATGGCCACAAAATGATGTAAGGAAGAGAAGCAACCAAAGAAGAGGTTCAGTCTCAGGTGCTTGAAAAACCCTGCTAAAAGATACCACCTCCAGCAGTGCCTCAGACACAAAAATGCCAACTGCCCTGATGCTTTTGACACCACTGATCACTCAAGAAAGAGCGAGAGCTTCAAGAAAGGCAGCCATAAGGCGTGCCAAAAACCTCAAGGCTTCTCCACAAGGAAACATCAGGACTCATTTGATGAATTCGAAGGCTGGATCTCTGTCAAAACTGACAGACCACACAATATCATGAATTTGAAATAAAAGTACCTGCATTAGTGATCTTCAGTAGCGATCATTCACTCAACGGTCCCTGCCACATAGACAGTTTTGGACACATAGGTGAATAATGCATTTCCCCTTTTCTGTGCATTAGACAAAGCCTCCACTGAATAGATGTGTAGTCTGTAACATGTAATAAAAAGACAGGATACTTTATTATGCCAGTGCTGTAAATCCTTATGACATTTGCTCTCATAAGGGCTTCACTGCAAAGAAGCTGCTTTGGTTTGCCTTAGCACATCATTCTGCACATTCACCTAATCATTGCTTTGCATTTTCCCTGCAATACGTGCCAGAGGAGTCTGATCCCTTCCTCAGGCTGGAACAGGGTCAGGTTTCAGATGACAGATTACATTAGTATTTCTATGCAGGTACTGTCCATGTGGGATCTTTCACCTCTGAGGTCCAGCTCCCTGTCCTGATACATGCAGAGATCCCAGTAAGTGTGAGGACATGGGGTCCCTCAGCGCTGTGGCAACTTGTGGGATCCAAGCCTTCCCTCTTCCCACCTATTGTCACCAGCTGCACTCAGCTCCATCAGCCCCAGCTGATCCAGCAGGCTGCAGGGAGGCTGTGGGCTGTTCCTGGCAGGCTCCTGTCCTGCAGGGAAAGGAAGTGGAGGGCAGAGGTGTCTGCAGTGCCTGCTCTGGGATCCAGGCTGCACCCTCAGAGCTGGAGCCCTGGATTGAAACCTCCCCTGGGAGCAAGACACCCGCCCTGAAGTTGTGGTTTTCTCCATGTCCCTCTTTGGCCCCAGGGGCGCGCGGGGTGGGGCGGTCCCTCTATGCAGTGAGAAACCCAGGGAGCCAGGCACCATCTGGCTCCAGACCTGGGGGGCAGCTAGGGGTTTGTGGGGTGCATGGTTTGCATGTGGGTTTCCCAGAGGGGGTATTAGAGGGGCTGGGATCAATGTGGGGCTCTGTTTGTTCTCTTTGGAACTGAGTTGGAGGAAAGAAAGAGCTATTCCCACCCCTTTCTCATCCAGTGCTGGAAAGACATGGTCTTAGTTGCTGGCCTCATTCAGCTTGTACAGGGGGAGGGTGCATTAAAGGGCCTGAGTACTTGGGATGGAAAGAGATTCCCCTTCTGTGCATGGCCTGCGTCACTATGTCCAGCACAGCAATACACGGTGGTGCCTGCAGCAGGCAGGGAACACAGGCTGAGAGAGATGTGCTAGAGTAGGGCTTGGCACGGGATGTGCACAGAGGGCCTCCAGCATGGGGAAGAAGCTGTTCTCTGTGCTTGTGTCCCTGTAGCACCAACCCCCTGCCTGGAGTGAGGAAGCCTGCATGGTCCCTGAGCCAGGGACATACCTATCATACATGGCAGCACATTTGGACATTAAGATTATCTCAGAGATGGAGACCCCTATGGCCATTTGCAACTCCATGCAGGCTGGAAACCATTGAAAAAACCACATACAGACCCTTCAACAGCATACTGGGAACACACATAGCAATGGACCCCCATGTCTCTGCAGGACAAGGGTTGCAATGGCAAGGACCTATTCTTGCCCTGAGAAGTTTCCACAGAGGCCAACCCTTGATGACTGGATATAGCTATATCCTTGTTCAAGCTTTCCAGCTTCTCCAGCTGGGGTACCCTGATCCAGTGCAGTAGTCCATGTGCTGTATCAGGCAGAAGGAGTATGTCTCTGCTGGATACCCCAAGGCATCTCTGTAGATGCAGTAAAGTATTGAAGCCCCCATGGGCTTCTGGTTTTCTGGTTTTCCAGTGAATATGCTTGTTCATACCTTTGCCTTCATAAATAAAACACCTTACAAAAGAATGGAGGAGGAAGGCAGCCTGAAATAAGTGATAGCATAAATATGAACAAAAGGAAGGAGAAAAGGCTGATGGGGAAGAAAGTGAGTCATGATGGCACTGGCTGCTGCTGCTTCTCATGTCTTTCACCATGGCTATCCCCCCCACAGAACGGGAGACAGGCAGTGAAGAGGGCCCCTAGGGTGCACCCTGCTGCTGGCTGGTTCCAAGTGACCTTCAGAATCAAGAGCGTCTGAGAAGCCAGGGTGCTGACAGAGGGCTTCTGGTCCAGAAGCAGGTCATTCAGGACTAAGATGTAAAGAAAGAAAGGACAGATCAAACCTATGGAACTGAGGAGAGCCCAAGAACCCCTCCAGTCCCTTTCCTCTAATGATGGGATGAGAGGAAATAAATTAATTGGAATTTGCTAAGCAGGAAGGACCAATAATTTTCCCAAAATATCCCCAGGAGGTCCCTCCCAAGGTGATGGCATATAAATATTCACACTGTACATAGCAGTCTATTACTGGAGCTTCTCACAGACTTGAATGTATTTCTTTTCGCAAACCACCACCTACAACTGCCTACTGTAGATGGAGGATGGAGGCCCAGAGAAACTGAACCCTCCATGGTCACAGAAAAAAAATTCTGTGACATTGAAAGCAAGTCTTCCAACTCCCAAACCAATCTCACCCTGGACTATCCTGCCCCTCAAGCCCCAGGTATCATAACTTGTGTCACCACTCACTGCTGCAGAGTTTGTGTAGTTTTTCCTCATTCTGGTCCTCTATCTGCCGGGCAGCAAGTCCTAGACATACAAACAGCCTGTTACATCGTGCAAGCCCTTCCTACACAGCTCCTGACTCTCTCATCACAGTGAGGCCTAACAGTGCCCCTACTGAGCATGGACAAGCTCCCACATCTCCTGGGAGTGAGGGGAGAAGATGAGCCAAAGGAGGTTCCATGACAAAGCTTGTGAAGAGAGAAAGGCTTGATGGAGACAGAGGTTTGATAGAGCCCTGCCTGGGGCAGTTTGCTATGAGTCTGCTTCCCAAGGTTTCCTGCACCAGGCCATCAGGATGTCGATAGCCAAGGGGTGGATTCTTGCTGCCAGCAGGGACAGAGCAGCAGCCTGGGAATGGGATCATGATCCCTTGGTCAAGGGACGCTGAGGATTTGCGGCTTACCAATGAACCTGACCGCTGCTTCACGGATGGGATCCTGAGGGCTCTCTATGTAGACAAGGCTCTCCATCAGGAAATCATCAGCTCTTCTCCTGTTCCTCATTAGCTAAAAGAGAGGCCCAGGAGGTATTAGGCTGTTACAGACCCTCCCTTACTCCAGGCCATGTGACAGGAGCTGTGGGAGGTCACACCCCAGAGCCCACCCCAATGTCCTGAGCTGGGTAGGAGGAATCACACACATAAGAACAACTGCTGGCCCAACCTTCCAGTAGCTCGGGGTCAGGGATGGAGCACAATCTGGGAAAGGAGCCTTCCCACACCAACCTCCCTAAAAACAGGTTACCTACATCCAGTGCCATGTCAAATCTGGGGTCAGGCTTTACAGGGGCCCTTTCAGTCATCTGGAAAGCCTTAAGGGCTGCCCTTACCAGACACTCACAGATCTTCCATGTCTCCTTCCTCTGGATAAGGGGCTGGATCTCTGTCCAACCAAGAAGTGCTGCAGCAGTGAAGAGGGTGTCCCAAGATGACTGCAAAACAGAAATGGCAGGGAGACTTAGTAGCAGTGGGAACCAAAGCAGTGGGAACCAAAGTCCCAAGGAGTTGCTTAGGGACACAAATGCTTCCTGGCCCTTCATGGCTGTTCTCTCAGAGGCCATCTCGGTGCTGTCTCTGATTCTGGGCAAGACCTTTAGACCAACAGCCACAGAAGTGTTCAGGCACCTGATGCCTATATATATATAAAAGTGTTAGGCAGCGGCCAAAAGCTGTCGTGGGTAAGAATTTGCCAGTGACACTCCCCAGGCTCCCACATCTTCTACTGCTGGACATTGCCAGAGCTGCCTCTACCACAGGAGGAGCCAATAGGCCAGTGCCAGGCTCACATCTACCCTGTTAGAGTCCCAAACTGGGCCTGACCTTGTGGGGGATCTAAGGAAACATGGGCTGGAGCAAGCCCTGCACAGAAGAGGGCCAGCAAAGAAGCAGTGACCCCCATCTTATACTCATGAAAGTCAGTAGTTAGAGTGCTTCTGCAGGGTTGAGGAGACCCAGGAGCAATTCCCTCCCCTGCCTGACACAATGGAAATGTGCATCTTCCAGGTGAATGGTCTCATCGCAGGAGTTGGGATCCTGTAGGGTGAGGGCTCTTGCCAGCTTGCCTGTGGAAGCTCTTCCACTTGGCAAAAAGCTGAGCATTCAGTGGCTGAGGAAGCAGAGGTGTACGTCTCAGGACTAAGGGCTTTAGTTCTCACCATGGCCAGGATCAGGCTATTTTCAAACATTTCAGTGCCTCCCAGATGAGAGAGCATTTTGAGGATTTAAATTTGAAATTAGGCATCTACAGAGGCAGTTTGGCTGCACTGGGCATCAAAGTCACTTTGCAAATTCAGCTCATCATCATTTCATGGCTATCAATGGCTGCCTGGCTTTATCAGACAAGGTCCAGAGAAGTATCTGAGGTCTAGGGTCCCCTTTTCCTCTTGCTGCTTGCCTTGGGACTTTGCCATTTCCTGGCTTATGCTACCCATACTACCTGTGATGGTCTGGAGTCATAAGGAGATCACCTTGGCTCATCTGCTCAGGGACGGACATGTGCTCAGGATAGCTCAGGGGTGGACAAAATGCAGCCCGGGGGCCAGATGCAGCCTGCCAAGCCATTCTATCCGGCCAGCGGGGCCCCTAAAAAATTTAGAAAATTAATATTTATCTGCCCCTGGCTGCCTGTCATGCGGCCTTCGATGACTTGCCAAAATTCAGTAAGCAGCCCTCTGCCTGAAAGAATTGCCCGCCCCTGGGATAGCTGGTAGCTCAAGCCTGGTGACAGATGGGGCAGGGAAGGTGGTGGCCTCCATCGTCAGGTTTGGCAGCCCAATGTGATCCAAATGAAAAGGGCCCAAATGTGAAGAAGCACAAAACCTCTGTCCTCCAACACACATGTCCCCTCAAAGAAGCCTCAGCTTGGATCCCAAATCATCAGGCACTCTTCAACTCTCAGCCTTCAGCTCCAGCTTTGGCTGGCTGAGGCACCCACCTCAGAAACCTTGGGGTTCACATCCTCCAAGTGGAAGAACAATGAAACAAAGCTCTTCAGGACATACATCTTCATGCTCTTTTTGTCCATCCTCTGCACTAACCTCAGCAGGTCTCCAAACAGGGAGATGGTGAGAAATCGAAGCCGGCTGGACACCTGCAAGCAGCCGGCAGAGCCAAGGAGAGAGAAAAAAATGCTGTTGGGGTTTATTCCTTCCAAAGAAGACACAAAGAGGACTCAGTGGGATTGAAATGCCTGGTGCAGACAGAGATATTCTGACTCTCCAGTAACCACCTATTGCTTGCTTTTAAATCACCCTCTGCCAGGGTGGAAAGAATTGTCTGGGGTGTATATGGCTCTGGGGAGAGGGGGGCACAGTTTTATGGAGAGGGACAACTGAGGGTGGGGGGAGGCTGTAGACACGGACAGAACATCCTTTCTGACAAACCCTCTTGCATTGCAAGGGAGAGGGCTCAGGTAGCCCAACAGGCCTGTGTGCCTGCACAGGGGGCTCCCACGCAGTAAGCTGGGGTGAGGTGGCTGGACAAGGCCCATCCTGCACAGTGCAGCCCATCGGGCAGAGCCTGCAGGAATTCAGCTGCTGGGGAGCAGATTTACAGAGCACCAGAAGGGATGAGGGAATGGAAGGTGTTCAGACTGGGCAAATGGGGCTGAAAGGGCAGATGCCATCTGATTTCATTTTCCATGACAATTGCCTATTTGTCCCCCAGTTCAGATCAGCAGCTAAGGGCAGGGTTTACTCAAGCTGTAAGAAAAATCAAGGGAGTGGATCGGGGGTGAGGGGGCCTGGAAGGCCCTGAGGTCTGCCTTTTGCTGCCATGTGGTCTGCAGGGAATGGGAGGAGCAGAGACAGGGGAGGCTCGGGGACATGAAAGGAAGAGTATTGAAATGGAGTCAGATCGCTGGCTGCACGATTCGTTCATGGTGGAGCTGCAAGGTCAGCATTCAGTTCTCATACACGCCACACACACACACACACACACACACACACACACACACACACACACACACACACACACACACACACACAAATGTAGGCAAGGAACGTGCATGGTCTCATTCTGCCTGCCAGGCCTTACATCGTCAAAGAAGGGCAGAATCTTCTCAGCTACTAGCAGAGCAGCCCGGCTGGCTCTCCGCCTGCCCAGAGTGGTGAGGATGTGCCTGATGACCATCAAGGCTTTTGCAATCACATCCCTGTCTGCCTCCTTCAGCTGCTCAAGGAGCTCTGGCAGCAAGTAATGGAGTGTCACCACCTGTATGAAAGGAGGGGCTTTAAAATCAACCAGTCATCTTGGTACCAAAAATTCCAGCTGGAGGCAGCTGAGCACCGGTGCCCATGTATAAGTGGGGAGCTGAAACAAATCTGACCCAGGTTACAGAGGAAAGCAGTAGCAGTGCTTGGAGTCAAAAAGTCCTGACCCCCACAGACCATCCCTCCTCCTCTGGGTGAAGACAGCTCCTATCTGACAGATGAGCTCTGAGTTTGGTCCATTGTTGTATTCAGATTAACCCCATTTTAGAACATTTCAAAAGCAGCCACCAAGGATCCCAGCCAGCCTTGGGGAAGAAGTACAAAAAAGGTGGGGGAAGAAATTCATAGAGAAGGTACAGACAAGCAAATGCAAAGCTGTGCTGGACCCAGGGAATGGAAATGAACTCCTATAACTACCCTCACACTTCACATGCAGGTCACCTGCTGATGGTCAGAGCTTCCCAAATCAGACCTGCCCAGAGTTCAGACCATCAAGGAACATTTCCCCTTCCCATTCCTAAGTGCTGCCAAGTCCATGGCTGTAAAAAAATAACGGCTCCCTTTTCTTTTTGTGATTTCTTGAATGATCTAATACAAGGTATCTCTGAACCAAGACTTCTAGAGTTTTACACTGCTCTTTTCCTGCCTTCTCCTGTAAGAGCTGACCATATGAGAAGACCATGTAGGCACAGGGCCCTCACTCCATGGGCTCATTTCAGTGCTCCTGCTGAGAAAGAGCTCTGATCAACTGCACAGAAAAACACAGAGGGGCTGAAAGCAGAACAAAAACATTTCTACATTACAGGGAATGACCTATGGGCCTGTGTATCACTGACCTTCAGTTCTCAGTGTTGAACCTGGGACTTCCAAAGCCCACAGCCCTGAGGCTACTGCCATGTTAGTAGGATTTCCAGGACTATAGGCCCAAGAGTTCCCAGCTACAACCAGAGTCCCACTGTGTCAAACTCTGCTCCACATGGTTGGATACAGAGCCCACACCCAGTAGGGTTTTCAACCCCAATAGACAAGCCAGACAATGGGGGAAAGGGACTCTCCAAAGGTCATCCAGCAGGTCTTTGGCAGAGCTGTGGGGAGCCTGCAGCTCTCTTGACTCCTAGTCTAGTATCTCCCAGCCCTGCACTGGTTTCTATGCCCCACACCAGTTATCCAGCACTGGGTTCTGGGGTTGTCCTTCAGATGTGTCTAGTGCAGTTCAATGGGTTGCTGTGCTCATCACCCAGCCAATCGTCCCTCTAACCTTTTCAGGCTGACAGGCCAGGTTGAGGAGTCCTTGCAGTGCCAGCCAGTGAACTAGGAGCTTTTGGTTGCTCAGCTGCCATCTCAGCCTCAGGACAACCTCTTCCAGCTGGTAACTGAGATCAGCACAGTGGAGAAGCTAAAGTACAAGCAAAAGAGGCAGGTAGTAAGTGAGGCTATTCCCAGGTGACCTGCCTACATCATGGGGCCTGCTATCACATGCAGTGTGGGAGCAGCATGGGCACATCATTCTGCTTTAAAGCTCGCTCTCAAGACCTGACCTGTCCTGATCCTAGGACCCTGCTTAGCCAGCGGTGGTCTCTGGGCCCAGGTTGCAGGTAGTATGTGAATGTGAGTATGAGTCCACATATGAGTTTCTTATACCCGATCATGTCCCTTATGAAGTAAAATGAGAGCCAGAGAATCTGAGAGCCCACAGGGCTCAATGACTGGCACCAGCACTGCAGCCTGGAAAGCATCCACCTAGAGAGGAAGAAGCGGGTGGAGTTTGAGTAGCTCTGGAACATGTGCCACTTGCCTGCAAGGCTCACCTCAACAAGGAAAGCCAAGGCTGAGAGGTGCTGGGTCTTGTCCCCGCTCCTTAGGACATTCAGGAGGTGATGGATCATCCAGGAGCGCTCTTCAACAGGGTTCCTCCGCATTGCTCTGGCATGGGAAACACCAACACCCTTGTTAGAAAAGCAGACAGGGGCTTTGCTTTGCTGGTTTGCACTGATACACATGGTTAGCGATATCCCACAGGACAGGGTGCCCAGGGTGGTCAAAAGGTGACCCTCCACTGGCACAAGCCATTTCTTGTCCAGTCAAAATCTTCCCATTTTGTGTGCTGCAGACCCAAGCCCTAAGTCACTCTACAAGGGAACTCCATCCCTAGGATGCATCCAATCAAGCAGTCTTGGGACTGAGAGAAAGGCAGGACATGCAAAGTAGGGCTTCAATGGGGCAAAACCAATCCCTCTTGGATGATCAGGTGTTCTTGTGTCTTTCCGCAGTTGTACTTGGTCCCACCAGATCTTCCCTCAGTGCTACAGCAGCAGCATCTCTAAGCCTTTCAGCACAGGACAGATTTTCTGCAGGTGATTTCCATTCTTCTCAAAGAACCCTGTGGCCACTAGCACCAAAGCTGCAGCCTGTTTCTTGGTGTTAGTGGGAAGCCTGCCTCTTCAATCAGGGAAGAGAAGCTTGTAGAGGTCCCCATAGCCCAGAGAGGAGGATCAGAGAAAACAGCACGTAGGGGACAAAGCTCTCACCTGGCAAGCAAGCCAACCCCTCTGTGATGTGCCTCAAAGCTCATCATCATGTCCCAGCCTCCCTGCTTCTGGATGGAGATGATCTGCTCCACATAGCCAGCCCCTTGCATCAAGGCTCTCAGGTCACCCACTGCAGACCTGCATTCAGAGAAGACCCTAGGTCACTGAGACCCTGAGCCCTGGGCCAGCTCTGGGCAAGTGAAAGATGTTGTGCTGGGGTCATGGAAGTGTACAAGAGGCTTGGGATGGAGCACCTAACAGGGGTGGCTGGGATGAGCATCTTCTGGCTCCGGTACTCCCCCCAGAAGAAGTTGATGCCCTGAGGTTCTGGTTGGACCAGGTGGGCTAGCCGAAAGAGCAGGGCCATACAGAGCTGTGGGTAGTGTGCCTGCACCTCCTGCTGGCAGGCTGGATGCAAGAAGCTCTTGGACAAGTGGCTAGTCACCTGCAAAAAAAAGCAAAAGACATAGAGGTCACTGCAAAATCCATTCCCCCTACCTCCCACCACCTCCCCCCATTATTAATGAAAAAGGAAAGTCGGGAAGTTTAGTCATAGGCTGTTGCTCTGGAAATCTGAGATCAGTTTTCTGTTCTGCCACACTCCTGGTGTGGCCTTCAGCAAATTATGTAGCCTCTCAGGATTCAGCTTTTCCTGGGACTGGGGACAGGCCCTTAGTAGTAAGGGTAGGCAATGGTAGGGCTTGGTCCCAGCAAGAGTCTGTTCTGTCCATATGCAAGTACCTGTCACAAGGCCCAGGAGCATGAAGTGTGGCATCAGATGCAGGAGAGTAGTGGGATATGGGGGAGAAAGACATGAGCTGCTGAGGATCATGTCCCAGGTAAGAGAACAGCATTTGGTACCTCTTTGTTGCCTTCAAGGAAGGCTTGGATGTAGGCCAGACACTCCTCCTTTTCCCTGCCTGGCTCCATCACACCAGAGGATCTTGCACAGGAAGGTGAATCTGATAAAGAGACAGAGCACTGATACAGGCAATGTGTTCCCCCACTCCTCCCCTACCCCTTCCCCACAAGCCTGGTAATGTATCAGCCTGTTACGCATCAGGGTGCGTCTGGGACAACAATCCCTGCCTCCAGGGCCACCATTGCCAAAGATACCGCAAGCAACAGACTCCCAACTGCTTGTCAGGGAGTACAGCCCCTAACTAGGGTTGAGTATAAGATCAGTCAAAAAAGACATATAGTCAATTGATTGGTCGAATCTTGTCAAATAATGGTCAAATATTCTAAACATTAATTTATTGGAAAAGTAACAAGAGAGATTTTAATCTTCAATAGGTTGGATCAGTCGTGCTCAACCTTTTAAAACTTGAGGCACTCCTAAATCGACTCAAGGCACCCCTGGGAAAATGCCAGCTCTTAGTATTAATTTGTTCTTTGACTACAGGAAAATAACCGAGCAAGTCTTGTGTTGCAAAGAACTCAGAAAGATCACAGCAGGGCAGAAAGTTTTTAGCTCCATGAATTCCTATTTGAAATCTCTGGCTTTACCATGTGAATCATGTTCGCACACCCAACAGTGCTTACCACAGCACCCTGGCTGAGAATCACCACGTTAGATCCTTATGCCAATCACACAAAAAAATACAAGTTAGCTATTGTGAAATAAATTAAATTCCCAAATAATATAATTAATTATTACAGGTAAGTGAAAATGTGAACAGTATTCAAAACTGAACAGTTCTTCTCCTTGGCTATTATCCCAAAACTGTAGGATCAGCCCAAATAGTTGAAAACAGACCGAAAAAAGAATGCAATGAAATTAAACAGAATGAAACACACATAGCAACTATAAAAGTCACCTTTCCCATGCTGTTGGGCTTGGTTCCTCCCTAAGCACAGAGTAGTTCCTACAGCCCCATGTGTCTTAATGTGGGAAGGGAAAGGAGGCTGGAAGAACTGAGGAGAGCAGAGCAGGGCAGGGGGTGCCTACTTCTAAATGGACTGTGTGTGCATGTGGATCCTGACTCGGGGTGGGGGGGGACAAGGAGCCCTCACTCCTGCCCTTGCTAACAGATGACACCAGGATCCCATAACAAAGGTAGGCTGCCATCTACCCACAGGCATTCTTGGCTTCATGGAATATTTGACAATGTTCAGCCATGGTCAGTTGGCATGATCTGAACCATCAATTGACTGACTTGCCAGCTCTGTCCCTAAGACATTGTCCAGAATGGAAAACTGCATCACCTGCCAGGGACTGGCACAGGCACTGAACTTGCCTGCTTGCTGCTCCTGTCTCTCTCCTGGTGGGCATAAAAATACAGTCAGGGAGGGTGGGGTCAGGTCCTTGTTTGCTGGAGCCTTCCTTGTGCCATTCCAGCTCCAGTACCCAGCAGGGCTCCAACCCTGGCATGGGCTGTGTTTGCAGTCCTCTCCCTTTCCCTAGCCTGGAGGCTGCTTGCTTACCTGCCTGGAAGTGCTGAGACAAGCACTGCCCCAACTTCTCCCCTGGGCTCCTTTTTGCACTGCTCTTTCTGGAGGATTCAGCCTGTTCCCAGGTCATGTGGGGCTTTAAGCAAGAGTGGGCCTTCTTAGCCATCCTGAAAAGAAGCCAGAAAAAGGTGTCACCTGTGGGAATGAGAGAGTCCCCATGAGGCACCTGGGTTGCTATAATTACTTCTTTGCTCTAGCATCTGAAGGCCCCAGCTAAGAATATGGGCCCACTGTTCTGGGAAGGGAACCCCAGCAATGCTCCAGGTGACTATATGGTGGTGATGGGCACCCAAGAAGTAGAGGAACAGAAGCAGAATACAGCTGGGGGCAGAGCAGAGCAGTGCTGAGGTGCACTGAGATGCCAGAGACTAGAGCAGAGATGAGGAAACAAGGGGAGCCTGCACAGTGCTGTGCTGATCAGCAGAGCCGAGCGCTCTCAGGGTCTGGAGTACTGCAGTTCTGTGGCCTCATTCCTGAAACCCTCTGGGCTCTCTTCTTATCTGACATGACAGTGACTCTACTTCCATTAACACCTTTCTGCTCCCCTCGCTTCAAAAAGCATGCTGTACACTTGAGCCCTAGGTTATTTTCTCCAGTTATTTCCTCCTTCACCTTCATGGGAGCAGCCTTTCCCACCAAAAACATACCCTGCAGACAGGCAGCCTTCACTTTATTGGGTTTCACCTTGGTTTTGATAAAAGGCCTCTTCTAATTGATTTCTGAATGCCTCCCCAGGGTTCCCCAAACTGATGAGGGTGGGGCAGGGGGAGGAGGCACTTGGCATCCCTTTCCCTGATATATATTTATTAACATAAGCAGCCAAGGACCTACTCAGGCTGATGTTTTGCTTCTCTACTGCCATCCCTATATTTGAGTGTCCTGGTCTCCAGTCCCAAGCTCCATCTCTGCCCTAAGATGGGCCCCTGCCCTAAACAGGGTCCCTGCAAGGGTACTGCTCCATTGGTGAATTCAAGCTGTTACAAATGAGGAAATTAGAGACTGAGGTTGGGAAGGGAATGCATTCCCCCGACCCATGGGCCAAGACCCAATGAAGGCATGTATTAACTCAGCAATAGATAAACTCCAACTTGTCATCCCCAAACTGATCCAAGTCACAACAGAGTGATGGGACTGCCCCGTTGCGGAGTGGGTACTCACAGCCGTGCAAGTCATACAACCCAGGAGATGAGGCATCTCTGCTCTGTTAGAGATGGACCTGGTTGCCAAGGAACGCTGTGCGTTGGCTGCCATCAACCAATCAGCTCATGGTCTTGGGTTCCATCTTACCCATGGTTCCCCTACTGCCTGTCCCCACTGTCATTTCACAGGCCAATAACAGAATACAATAACCAACCCCAAAAGCATCATCCCCTTCATTGGACAGCACATTTGGTTGCAGTGCAACCACGTGGGACAGCATGGTCTGGGCCTCTCTCCAGCCACCTTCTACTCCTGCCAGATTCAGGGCCAGATCTGGCATGCACTGTATGTGCCACAAGGGGCTGGACCAGCACACATGCTGCGTGCAGTGCATGGGACTGGACCAGGCCCACACACCAGATCCAACTTGTGGGCTGACCTGTGGGCCCAATCGGGCCTGCAGATGAGCCCTGTGCTACTCATCTGGATCATGAGGCTGGATGAATTTGACATCCCTGGAGTAGAGGAATCTGATGCCCCTTGGCTTCAGGCACTGCCTTCCTCTTGTGAGTAAGGAATTCAAAACTCCTGGGGTCTCTGGTTTTCCAGTGAACACACATTTCCTACACTTGCCTTTATACATGAAACATCACACACAAATAGAGGAGGACTGTAGCTCTTATACAGGAGAGATTACTAATGAAATGAATGTGTACAAACAAGAAAAATGGAATATTAGCACAGGCTTGACTTCCAGCACATGGTAGAGATCTTTAAACCAACTGTCTGGATGAAGTTAGTGCATGGGCTGACTAACTTTTTTTACTTCAACCTTTTCCATGAAGAATTTTGCTGGGAGATTTTCTGGAAGGAGTGTGGTTCTTCTGGAACTGGTTTAACCCATTGCCAAAGAACACCCAATAAGTACATTAATCACAAGAAATAATGTACACAGGACAGAAGATCGTTTCATATTTTTAAGTGTTTTAATTACTATACATGTCAGGCAGGTGGGTTTAATTATTCAGTTACTGTAATAACAAGAGTCAAAATTTGTTCCAGTTTTCAGGAACCACTGCATTCAACTCATAAGTATCTAAAATGTTAATTTGCACAAGCAGACCCAAGAACAGTCAGTAGCAGCCCCGCTCCTATCCCAGTCCCTCCTTCCTTTACTCTTTTAACTTGCCCTTTCCACCCCCAATCTTCCCTCTCAGGTCTCCCCTTTACCCCACTTTCTCATACTTTTACACAGCAAAGCTGCAGTTCCCCAGGATCAGAGAAGAGGAGCAAAGTCCAGACCATTAGGCAAGTCTCAATGTCTAGCCCATCCTCTCCTATTCCCTGTGGTGTAAAAGCATACCAAATTAACCCAGGGTATAATTTAGCTTTTGGGGTAACAGAAACATAGGGGGGGAAAAAAATCAAACTGGAATGGATTTCAGGAGGTCATTGAATCTAACCCAGTCTTTCCAAATCATTTCAGCCAAGCGTTTGTCTAACCTGGGCTTAAAAACTTCCAAGGATGGAAGTTTTACAGACTTTCTTGGTAATCTGCTCACTTGCTTAGCCACTTCCATAATTAGAAAATTATTCCTTGTAGCCATCCATAGTTTCTTTTTGTCCTCTTCTCTGAGGCTACAGAGGCTAGCCAATCCCCATCCTCTTTATAACAAGCTTTCATTTATTTGAAGACGGTTATCAAATCCCCGCTCAATCATCTTTTTCCAGCCTAAATAATCCCAGTTCTTCCAATCTTTTCTTATATGCTATGTTCCTCTATGTAATCCTATCTAACAAATCCTCCTAGTTTATCACTGACACATTGATGACTACTCTTTGGGCACAATGATCCAACCAAGTTACGTATCTATGTTACAGAACATTCTTCTGGACTGGATTTGCCTTAATTTCCTAATAATAATATCATGGGAGATAGTGTTAAAAGTCTTGCTGAAGTCAAGGTTTATCATATCCACTGCTCTCCCTCCCATACACAAAACCTGTCACCTTTTGGTAGAAGGAGATAAAATTGGTCAGGTATGACCTGACAAATACATGTTGGCTGTTCTTGATCACCTTGTTATATCTTACAGTTGCTTAGAAAGAGATTGCTTGACCATATGCTTCAGATTCTTTCCTGATAACAAAGTTATACTGACTAGACTGTAAATTCCCTTTTGTTTATTCCTTTTTTCAAAGTTGGGCACTATATTTGCCATTTTCTAGTCATCTGGACCTCACCTGGCTTGCACGAGTTTTCAAAGAGAGCAGCTAGTGGCACTGCAACTAAGCTCCATCCAAAATTATGGGATGAATCTTGTTCAGCTCTGTGGACTTAAAAACAGCCAGCTCTTTCAAGTAATTTGTAACCTGCCCTTTCCCATCTCTAAACTGATTGTTTCCATCCCTGTTCTTGCTGCTAACCATGTTTGTCCTCTGACGGTTGATTTTTTTTTGCAAAGACTCAAGTGAAGAAAGGCATTAAATGTTTCAGAATTCTCCACATTATCCATTATTAGATTCATTATTAGCTTAATTGAAACCAGAAGTTAAACAAAGTTCACTGACTGATTGAGTGATAGATGGGAGTCCTCTAGGTACAGAGAGACCTGGATGGAAAAGCTAAATAAAGCTCATTTTGGGAGTAAAAAATGAAGAGGTTTATTCATGTTTCAGGAGCGCAGGCTGAGCTGGGTTCCCTCCCCAACCCGGAACCAGGGGTGTACTTTCTCCCCTGTGAATGAAGCCAGTGGGAAAGTGAAGATCAGGGCATTTGTATCAGCAGCAGAAAATGTTACCTGGCCCCATTCATAATTCAGATACACCTGGACCCTTCTGGGGGCTGACCTCAGGGGCAGGGGTGTCCAATCAGGGGAGGTGAGAGCAATGTACTCACCCCTCCACCACCGCTCCACAGCCCAGATCCCTCCCTCGGGGTTAGGGCTGATGCGTCCCTTCCTCGTCACAGACTCTCTGGCAACCCCCACAGCCCAGGCTCCCTTGTCCCCCACGTCCACTTCCCAGAAATGTCTCCCTGAGGCAAATCGCTCGCAGCCCAGCACGCAGTCAACAGTATCAAATCTCTCAGGATTCTTGGGCAGATGCTGCCATGCTTTTCCCCAGCTCACACTTTTCTGATTCTCAGACAGAATGAGTTGGGGATGGGCCGTAGCTGGATCCAGAGTCACCTTCACTAAAGAAGAAGAGAAAACCAATGCATCCAAGGCAGAGCTCAGGCCTGGGAAAGGCTGGGGCCATTCCTCACCCTCCCCAACAGCCCAAGTCTGGCTGGGACCCTCCCTGATCTCTTCCATCTCAGGGCTGGGTCCAAGGGAGCTGCCTCTTTGCTGGGGCTAGACAGGGGTGTTCTTGCTCTCTGCCTCCTCCCCTGCTTCATCTCCCTGCTCCCAGCAGCTAGGACTGGGTAGTTAGGGCAGATGGGGTTGGGCTGAGACCAAAGAGGTATCAGTTTCTGAGGTCCATTCAGGCTGAAGGAATAGGCCAGACTGGGGACACCACAGCCCACAGGGAAAGCAAAGTTAAGACCCAGCAGGCAAAACAGAGGTGAGAGGATGCCCCATGGAGTTACTGGAAGTGGCAGGTCAAGCCAGGCAAAGACTGGCACGTACCAGCCCAGCCCAGCCACTCCTTGAGTCAGCAGCAGTGTGTTTGAGGTGGGGATTTTCTTAACCACAGATGAAAGGATAATGAGCTGCCCTACATAAAGTCAGTGGCCTTCCCCGCAATATTCACTTTATGTTGTTGGGAAACTTTGAGGTGCTTAACCTCAGAGGCTTCTGCTGCAGATGAATCCAGTGCCACACAATAATTTCCCTTTAATTAACAAAACATCTATTGCTGTGAATCGGGGACACTCTTCCCCATGGCCCCACCCTCTGCTCTGCCAGCCCATTCTTTCCCAGACTGACTTACTTGCTTCTGGCGGCTTAAACACCAGAGTGCCTAGACAGTAGAGGAAGAGAGAAAAAAGAGTTTTGTATTATAACACTGCTTCACAATGCCCAATTTTTACTACAAATCAGGGTAATGGGGCTGTAATTCTGGAAGGAAAAAGAAAGGGAAGGAGAGAGGCAGACAGAGACATGTCAAAGCTCCCCAAATATGAATTTAATCTGATTACAGATTAGCCAGTACTAGGCCTAAACACCACTTAAGTCCCAGAAATACAATTATAAGCCTCACTCACATGGCATCTAATGCTTTCTGATATGGAGAATGATGGAAAAGGTCTGTTTGGAATGAAACAGGGCCAAGAAAGGAGAACAGCAGCACTTTGCATCATCTAACAGCTTTCAGGTCATGAATTAGGGCATGGTTTAAACCATGGCATGTGCCTGCATCAGATGAGCTAGCTCTCTTGTTTCACTCAGTTTCAAAATAGTAACCTGACTACCCATCTCTCTTACCCATGAGTATGTCTATTCTGCTGTATTGCAGACAGCTTCCCTGAAGGATTATCATGGAAAGCCATCAGGACTGCAGCCTGAAGTCATGGACTTGGCTAGCACATGCATTTGAAAATCACTTTTTTTCTATAAGGAGCTGCCAACTGTGGTAGGGGCAATTTTAATGCATGGGCCAGAAGGTTTGAGCACACAGCTTAATGCCTTTTTTAAGCATGGGCTTCTACTCTGACTGTGAGGAATACAACCATCAATGCCCATTAGGATTAAGCGGGAAGGAGATATTATTTCCCAGCCTGAAATGCTCAGGAACTCCAAACTCCCAGAAGGCAAAATTCAGACTACATAACTGTACACCTTGGGCCTTGTATCATTTCCAGAGACCTGTAGTCCTTGTGTGTTTTAAGAACAAGGCCTCTGTGGCCAAGGAGTTGGTTTGTGTTCCTTGCTTTCCAGCCATGTTGTCCCCCAAAGTATTCAACTAGAAAACTGTCTATATCCTAGATGAGCTCTTAGAGAGTGTTTGTAAGTAGCTGAGCAAGCTCTGGATGCCTAGACACAAGGTCTGGGTTGTTGGTAAGGTGATCACAGGTCCCAGTTTTGCCTGCAGCAGTGCCACTGACTGTGGTGAGGGTAGGGGAAATAAGTGTCCTGGATTTCCTTTAAAATAATCTGGTCACCCTAATTGCAGGGCAGCTGGAGAGCAGTTCCTATGTGCCAAGTTGGATGTCTTGAACTTTGCTCAAAAGCCCCACAACTAGAAACACTGACAAGAGTCTAAGCAGACCCAGGTGCCTCAGAGGCACTTGGCACCCTTAGAGTGGATCTAATCACAGAAGACCAGTAACCTCAAAGAATAGAACAATAACAACAGGTTTTAAGTAATTCGTTGCTGTTTCCCTATCAATTTATTATACCTGGAAACATTTCTAAACCCTTTCTCCAATTTAAAAATCTAGATTATTTTTTTCTACACTTTACAATCGGATTTTGCAATAGCCTCTCTTTCTCCCAACATCACAGAGACATAACTCAGTTTGCTCAAGCTAATCAGTACCTCAGATGTTCCTCAGAGTTGCCTTTACAGGAGAAAAATTTGGGGAGAATTCATAGACTCACTTTTCCAGCACAAGAGCAATATCCACGTGCTGCTGGAACTTCCAGTCCTTGCACCTAGGGAGAGATAAATATAGTTTTCTATTGCATTATTTTATCCTTCATCAAACATTTTCTTTTCTGTAGTCCTCATTCATATGAATGCTTTGCCAGGAAATGGTGTTATAAAGGGAGGTAACTTTCAGCATCAGAGCAGCATCACTTTCAGCATGACACTGCCATGGCTCCAAATAAAGCAGAAGCTATGAATATTTGCTCTCTGGAGCCCTGGCACTGGTCAGGAGGGCTCTGGAATCCATTAGACCTTGGCATATGTCAGGGTGCAAAAAAAAACCTCTGCCCTACAAAGGCTGCTCTTTATGGCCCACTTACTTGGCCACACTGGTCCCAGTTAACCCCTGTAATGGATTTGGTGTTAATTAGCTCAAACAGTCCTTTAACTATATTGAGTTCTTTATTTCCCGGGCCCACCGGCCTCTCAGGAACCACCATAAACCTTACTCCCTACCCAAACATTAACATAATCCACATAGGTTTCATTCACCATGACTGAAGATTAACTCACAGACTGTGAAAAGATGCCTTCAGCTGCCTGAAAACTTCCTTCTCCTCCTTGGGGTGAGTTCTCTGTCATAGGACTGCTGGCACCAACTTTGCAACCATGGGTCTCTTCCCAGACCCAAAAAGTCTCTGGCCTGGTATTGCATCCATTAGCCAAGCAACCCTCTTCCTCTGCTTTCTTATCTTCCTGACTTTCAGTTCTCTCAGCTCTTCTTTCTTCTATCACAACCTCCCTGACTCCTTTCCCTGGGAGCCTTTTAACTTCCTTGGCCAGCCCCTTATCTTTCACAGCTGCCTCAGTCCTCTGAGCAGGCCTGTAATTAGCCCCTTAGAGTCCTTGCAAGCTTGCGGACTCCTCCAGCCTGGAGTGCACAGTCTGCTACAAGCTTTTGCCAGCCAGCCTGCTACCTTCTCCCCCCAATCCCAGTTACCTAGATATGCTGCTCCCAGTTAACCCCCACCACTTATCAGTCCCGGTTACCTGGTGATACTGGTCCCATTTTCCCCACCTTATTGGTCCCATTTACACAGCTATACTGGCCCCAGTTACCCCATTTACTGGTCCTAGTTGACACCCCTTACTGGTCCCAGTTGCCCAACTATACTGGTTCCAATTACCCAGATATAATAGTCTCAATTAACCTCCCTTACTGGACCCAGTTACCCAGCCATACTGGACCCAATTAGCCCTCTTTACTGGTCCTAATTACCCCCCTCCCCTTACTACTTCTAGTTTCGCAGCTATACTGGTCCCAGTTAACTCCCCTGACTGGTCCCAAATACCTACCCCCTTTACTGGTCCCAGTTACAGTTACCCAGGTACACTGGTCCCTATTATGTCGTGCACCCCCCCCCCCCAGTTACCAGACCCAGTTACTCGGTTATGCAGTTATACTGGTTTCTAGGTTTTTCAAGTTCCATTTTATACCCATGTCACTGTAACGGAGAAGGGATCAGAGCAGCAAACTCATCCCAGTTAGTTTCCCATAACAAATGAAACTGCAGAGCAGCCTCAGGGGAAGCTGTTTCACAGACTGGAGTTAAGCCAGTTCCTTAGCTTTGGTTGTGGCCTCTTGTGGGTAACCTGTGAAGGGCTCTGCTGGAGCAGGACGGAGGCCCACTGATCTATCTATGGGCCCTGGCTTCCCCCAGGCGGGAGCAGGCTGGAGTTTCCCTTCCCAGCCTCTCCTGCTGCCCGGTTCAGGCTCTAATGCCTCCTTTTCCTTCCCTGGCAAGGACTGGTGCAAAGCGAGATGCGCAGGGATTCTGCAGACAAGCCACTCATTTCTATTGTCGCTGCGGGCCGAAATCCTTAAGGCCCATCATTGTTCCTCCCCCACCAGTGCACACACCCATGCACAAACACCCACATGCACACAAATACATATGCACATACACACGCATGCATGCACACATACACATACAAATACACACCCACCCATACACACACATGAACACAGAGACACACACCCATACACACACATGCATGCATACACGCACATGCATACACCCACACACAAACATACACAAATGCGTGCGCATGCACAAAAGAATGCACATATATGTCATGACCGAAAGGCATGATTTTGTGTGTGCTTCGGCACCAGAATTATCCCCGCCAAGTTGCAGCTTCATTGCACGGGAGAGTTTCCTGTTGCAGAGGAAACCCCGGTGCAGGGACGAGTTTCCCGCCTTTTCTGCAGCTTCTTTTGCAGAGTGCATTGCTCAAGTTGCAAGAGGAATGCGCGGTGCAAAAGAGTTCCCGCCACCAGTATGTAAATTCGTTCCCCGCTATTGGCTAGTTTTAAATTATTCACACGTGGCAGCTAACGATTGGCCTGTTAACTGTATAAGAGGCTTGAGCGGTTTCCGCCCAAGCCGAAGAGGACTCCACATCCATCTCATGGGGACTCTGGGTACACGGCAGGGTAATAGAAACCCTGTGTGAGATCCAGAGGAGCGTGGCGGCCTGATCCATCGCCAACCTCTTCCTGTCTTCGAGCGCGACTTTTATAAGACGTATCTACAATTCTCATTTTGGTGGCTCGTTCACCCAGAGCATCCGGAGCTCTGCACCGTGGAGCCTAGCAAACTCCACGAGACCATCTGTGTTGTTTGTCTGTAACTGCAACTCAAGCAAGTTTTCCAGCCTACACCACTGCCATCTCGGTGTAAGTAAACAATCTTTAAAACTACCGATACGCGTCTGTGCCTAATTCCAGCTCGACGGCCTCCCCTCTCCGACCCGGCGTGCCCGGGCTGCTGGCCACAGCCCGCGTGCAGCG